CTCCCTGAGTGTGGCCTTCATAACACCATTCCATCACAGGAAGTCATTTTTTAATGTATTTCCTTTCTTTTTCTTTACTATGTTCTTATTTTTTTCTTTCTTTTCTATTTTTTCGGCACTTTCTATTTTTTCTTTATTTTTTGTAGTTTGTATTAGTTTTTGTTTTTTTAGGTGTAATATTTAATAAAATTATTATTAAAAAAAGAGAAATCTATCCTGATTTAATAAATTGCTCATGGCTTAAATGTTAAAAGTTTATGGTAAGACAAACCCAGATTTGGGGTGTGGTACAATTGGATTAATAAGTGGTATTAACCATGGTTATTTTAGCCATGGTTGATTGCATAATACAAAACCATAAATGATACCATACAACTACAGTTATTGAATTTATATTGCTGCTTAGCATAATGTGTAAAATAAGTGTCCATTTTTATGCACTTTGTGTCACATAAAACTGAAGGAACAGATGAGGAACATTGTTCTCTATAAGAGGGCTGCCATCTTCTCTTTTGCTTTTCCTTTGTTGGCTTTTAACAGCATGTAACATGTAGAACTAGTAATTGTCCACCATTTATAATTCTGTAGAGAAAGCTTCACTAGGCTGTTGTTAAAGAAAAAGGGTTCCTGTTGTAAAATAATCAGGCTTTCAAATATGCAGCGGCCTGAAAATATTTTCTCAAAGCATAATAAGTCTTCATACTTGCGTCAAAATAGTTTTAAGATTAAGCATTTGTTTGTTTTTCTAGTACTGAGTCAGAATACTCAGCTATTATGCAGCTTTCTGAAATGAAAGAGATGCACAGTTGCTGGCAATTTAGGAAGTCCAATAAGTCAAAATCTGTAATCCATGTTGACAGGTAAGATGCATTTATTACTTCATAGCAACAGCTGAAAAACATTCATTCAGATATGTAAATCTCATTGGCATTATTCACACATAAAAGTAAACCAGGATTTAACTATTATAAATGGTTGAATAAGCCATAATGGTCTGGTTGTGCATACTATTCAACCATAATGGTTAAATTTTATGTATATTGCACATACTGCATTATGGTATAACAAGACTTATGTACAAGCTGTGTACAAAGCCAAAACCAACCAAACAAACAAAGCTACATTTATGACTTAGTTCAATGTGTGAAGTCAATCAGAGAATGAGGGAAAAAGTTAAATACAGCATCAGTATTTTTATTTAATCAGTTTTTAAGGCTACCCACTCATCAATAACTCTTTATACTTATTGTATTTGCTATTACTATCAGTAGAAGAATCTTGGACGAAAAGTACATTTTACCTTTTTTCATGTTTAAAGGTTCTTTTTTTGATGAAATTTGAATGATTGTAGAAGATTTAAACTGTCAGCTTGTCCCATAAAGAATACTGATCCAATCCAAAGAAAGGAAATAAGTTGTAATTAATAGGATGTGAGATTAATAATAATTAATATAGCTAGGAACTGAAATATTAATTTCTTTGTTTTAGAACCATTATTTGGTAGAAAATGTGAAATGAATTTAGTACATTACACTTTTTATATAGCATAGGAACAATTACAGTGGTATTTCAGAATAATTACAAAATTCTGCAGAATATTTGTGGTTTTATGCTTCTTCAGTGGCATTTTTGGATCTGAAATATTTGAAGCAAGCATCTTGAATCTGTTACTATCTTTGATGATATTTAGCTAGAAGTAAACAAGTGCACTTTTTATATAATCAATATTATATGAATATTTGGATTATGTATCTATAGTGAAATTTGGTCAGGATGTATGCAATGTTTTCCAAGGCTGCTATAATAATCTGTTCTAGAATTTAAAATCCTAACAACTATTTGTCTTTATTCTTATAATCATTGTCAAAATATCATTCAATAGTTTTTGGATAAACTTCTTTGATACAATCTACTATAGCTGAAAGAAAGGCCCTTGAAACAGAAGATTCAAAGTTACATTTTGTAATTTATATCAAGTGGGCATAAGAAATTTTCTGTGCTTTGAAGAACTGTTATCTTCAACTTCAACTTAAGTTTGTGTGCGACTATTGGCTTTTGAGATTTTTAGTTTGACTTAATGGAGTTGTAATGTGAATCTTTAGTTTTGTTTGTAAATTACATTTCGTAAAACTCACATTGCTAGTTGCTAATTTTACTCAAATGACTACATTATTTTCTCATCTTCATTCCCCAGCATACCATCAGAAATACTTTTGAAAATCTTTTCGTACTTAGATGTTGAGTCTCTACTGTGTATTGGCTGCGTGAACAAACTTTTTTATCATCTGTCCAATGACAAGTAAGGAATAGCATCGGACGTGGCTATAACATGATAGTAATCAGTATAATCTAAATTATAAGAACCTTTCAAATATGTGTCAGGGAAAAGGAAAGAAAGTGATTCCTTGTTTTTAATGTTTATATGAGACAATTTGATTGGGTAATATTTTAAGCTATGTATTCTGCCTCATTCACTGTACTGAGAACCCTTTTGGTTAAAAATGGAACTGCAAATTTGTTTGTTTGTTTGTTTATTTATTTATTTATTTATTTATTTATATGCCACCCATATCCCCCAGAGGGCAACTCTGGGGGGCTCACAATTAAAATCCAAAACAGTAAAAGCAATAAAAATATAAATATCCATAGTAAATTACCTAAAAATAATTCAATATAAAAAGACTATACAATTCAAGATGATGGGGGGGGAGCAGTATTGATTATCCCAACAGCCAATTCCAACAATGCAAGCCTCCATCAGGCCCCCAGGCCATCTGGCATAGCCATGTCTTCACACTTTTCCGGAAGGCCAGGAGAGTGGGGGCAGACCGGACCTCAGGTGATAAGCTGGGCAGGGCAGGGGCCACAGCAGAAAAGGCCAAGAGGCCTTTTCTAGATCACACCAGCTGAAGTTCCTTGACTAGTGGGGCCCGCAACATGCCCCTTCTGCTGGACTGTGGAGCGGGCTGACATAACGGGGGTGAGACGGCTTCTCAGATAACCTGGTCCTGTGCCATGAAGGGCTTTAAAGGTAATAACCAACAGCTTGAATTGGACTCAGAAGCAACCAGGCAACCAGTGCTGCTTGTGTATCAGAGGTGTTATATGTGCCCCCCAGGGGTGTTCAAAACTGTCCATGCCACTGCATTTTGCACCAGCTGTACCTTCCAGATACTGTTCAAGGGTAGCCCCATGTAGAATGCATTGCAGTAATCCAAATGGGAGGTGACCAGGGCACAAGTGATTGCATGGAGGGCCTCCTGATCCAGGAAGGGGTGTAACTGGCACATCACCCAGAGTTGTGCAAAGGCCCTCCTAGGCCATGACTGCCACCTCCTCTTCAAGCAGGAGTCATGAATCTAGGAGGACCCCCAGATTATGCATTGGGTCTGTCTGGGATAGTACAACTCCATCCAGAACCAAGGATAATGAGCTCCTAGATCTTGAGGCTCCCTGTACCCGCAGCCACTCCGTCTTACCAGGGTTCAGTTGAAGCCTCTTTCCCCCATTCAGGCCCCTACAGCTTCCAGGCACTGCAGAAGGGTAGCCACAGCTTCACTTAGGTCACCTGGGATGGAGATACATAGTTGAGTATCATCAACATACTGATGATACCTCATCCCATGGTGCTGGATGATCTCACCCAATGGTTTCACGTAGATGTTAAATAGTGACAACAGCACCGAACCATGAGGCACCCTACAAGGTAGGGGCTGCAGGTTGGGCTTCTCACTCCCTATCAACACCAATTGGGATTGGCTTTGGAGGAAGGAGCTGAACCAGCACAGAACTGTGCCTTCCAGCCTCAACTCCTGCAGCCAACCCAAAAGGATACCATGGTTGATGGTACTGAAAGCCTCCTAGAGGTCAAGAAGAGCAAGAAGGATGGATGCACTACCCCCATCCCGCTCTTGTCAGAGATCACCTAAAAGTGAGACCAATGCTGTTTCTGTCCCATAATTGGGCATGAAATCTGATTGAAAGGTATCCAGATAATCCGCTCCAGGATCCTTGGTAGCTGTCACGTGACCACCTTTTCCACAACCTTTCCTAAAAAGGGAAGGTGGGAAACTGGACAACAGTTGTCCAAAAGGGTGGGATCTAGCGAAGGTTTCTTGAGGAGGGGGTAGACCAGGGCCTCTTTGAAAAACGGGGAAACCCCCTCCTGCAAGGATGAATTGGCCACTGCCAGTACCCACCCCAGTGTCACCTCCCTGGTGGCTTTAACCAGTCAGGAGAGACAAGAATCTAAAGCACAGGTAGCTGCACTAACCACTCCAAGGACCCTGTCCACTTCCTCAGGTCCAACAGGATCAAACTGTTCCCAGATAACCAAGTAAGTCCACTCCCCAGGCATCTCCACTGGACCTGCATCACACTTAGCCTCCAACTGGGAATGGATCCAAGCGATTTTATCCGTCAGGTGTTTGGCAGATTCCTCTGTGCGGCCCTGTAGATGGTCCTCTGAACCCTCCTTACCCTCTGGATGCAATAAAAGCAGAGAAATAATGGCGTTTCGTTGCCCTTACTGCCATGAGGTAGGCCTTAATAGCGGTTCTAACCCATGTTCAGTCAGACTTATCCTTTGTTTTCTGCCAGTGGGACTCTAGACGTCTCCTGGCCCTTTTCAGCACCCTTAACTCCTCTGTAAACCATGAGGATTGCCGGGGGTGATGGACCAAGAAAGGATGCATAGGTGCAATCCTGTCTAAGGCCCTGGCCTCCTCCTTATTCCAGGCTGCATCCAGGGCCTCCGCCGGATTGCGCAGCAAGTCCTCAGGAACAACTCCCAGCTCCCTTTTGAACCCTTGGTGATCCATCACTCACCGGGGGCAGACCATTTGAATAGGTTCCCCTGTGGAGGGGGAAGGGTAGCATAAAAGAATCTCAAGGCCCCCAGGGAGTGGTCTGACCATGACAAAGCGGACAATGCCAAATCCCCCACTACATCATTTTGCCACTGCTCCAACATGAAAACCATGTCCGGAGTGTTACCACTGTCCCAATTTGGGCCATGGATGACCTGGGATAGGCCCAAGGCTGCCATGGTGGCCATGAATTCCCGAACTGCCTCTGGGGCCAATCCCAGGGACAGCAGATTAAAGTCTCCCAGGACCATAGGCCACTGCCAACCCCAAGATGGCCTCCAGCAGCTCAGGCAGGGAGGTTGCTATGCAGCAGGGAGGCTGGTACAGAAGCAAAAGTCCCAACTGATCCTGCGAGCTGTCTTCAGGATTAGGGTCTCACAACCAGCAACTTGTAGAGCAGAGTCTCTGAAGGCTAGCAGAGATTCCCGGATGACAACTGCCACCCTCCCCCCTACCCTATGGTCTTGGCTAGTGCCAAACCAACCCTGTTGGACACATTTCCGAAAGGGGAACACCCCCATCTGGTGTCAGCCGGATCTTGGTAATGGATGCCAGGTTGGCTTGCTCCTCCCCAATAAGGTCATGAATAAGGAGGGGCCTTATTGACTGACCTGGCATACAGCAGCAGCAGCTGAAACCCCGGGCCTCTGCAGGTCTGCTGACTAGGGTCTGGGCTTGAGCTCAGAGGGCTGGAAAACGCCACCAATATTACATGTCGGGGGTATCTTCCGCTGAAATGGACTGCCTTTTATAAATATAAATTATATAAATATTACAGTTGTTCCGTTATATAAATATAACAACATATGCATACGAAGTCCTGTAGTTACTTTATATATATATGTATACGTATATGTACTATATATGTATATACTGTATATATTAGTATTCTTTTTACAAACATATTAATTAATAAGCACTATTGGTGCTTAATTTTGATTTTTTTTTTAAAGATGGTCAGTAGTATCTTATTCTCACTAAGTTTCTGCTAGTTATGAAATGGTATTTATTTTTTAAGACATGAAAAACAACTTACTGTATTGATTTCTTGCTATTCTGAGGCTTTTTAGAAAAATATCATGGGATAAAAAATGGATAAATAACATGATAACATTCATCCTTTGGCAATCACATTTAATTTTTCAACACTAATTGAAAAATAAAGCTAAATAAGGAGTAGAAATTAAGAAATTAACAAGTAATAGTGTAGACTCATTAGTGAAATTATTGCCATTGGTTTCATTAAAACTTGGATTTGTTGAATGCTGTGCTGCTAAATGTTTAAGAATCAGCTCTGCTGGCTTCATTATTGCCTCTGTAACAGCTGATCAGTGCACTCACCTCTGCTGTCAACCAGGTTGCAAAATTCCAGAAAATTTAACAATTGGCTCTTGTGAGCACGTGCAAGCTGATTCCAGCACACTACTGATTTTGTCCCACCCACATCTTTAAATGAAATCTTCCCTATGTTAAATTCAATATATGATTGAATCCCATTAGTCTAAACATTGGCTTATTTTTAAATTTTGTTCTGTAATGATTTCAGTCATTTTATTTGTAATGATTTTGTCATAATATTTGTGTTTGTGTGTGTGTGTTTTCAATAGTGTTATCTGGTCCAAAATATACTCTAAGTCTTTTCTACCTAAAAGAAAAAAATGGAGGACCAAATCTGTCCAGGAAACAGACTGCATGTCTCTGAGCTTTCTGGAATTGCAAGATTCCAGGTCAAGATACTGGAAGAGAGAATACATTATGAAAAAAATAGCTGCTCAAAGATCCAATATAATTCAGCTTCTTAAGCCAATAAACACTTACACTGGTCTTCCACTTAAAACCAAAGAAGCTATCAAGTAAGCAATGTTAATTAAATGTGATTTTAATAAAATGCTATATTTAATGACTTTGTATTTCACTTATAGATTACTGATAATTAGGAGAATGTATGGAAGTTCTTAATTTCTGGTTAATATTTAGTTGTGAGATAGAAAATACAAATTCATAAAGTTGATTAACATAGCTTGTTAGATATATGTAGATCTTGTTGAAGAGAGACTGTCTTGCTGGGGAAACAAAATATTTTTTAAAAAAGAAAATATCAAAACACGTCCTTGGAATTTCCAGACATAATGATCATTGTTAAACATTTCTATAAGCTGTGCCCATATTTAAAGAGACAGTCTAAAGCCTTCAACACTTCTTTTGCTTTTCCAATCACAGAATCTCTGGTCTGAGATGGGTAATCTTACTAAAAGACAGAAATGGAAAGGAACATGGAATGGATCAGGCAGACATTTCTTTTAATGAAACATCTGTTACTGTATATTGGTATAGTAATAGATGGCCTCTCTTAGATACTTTGTCAACTTTGCAGTTATTTGGAGTGACGCCAGTACTTCTGGGTGAGAATAAAGTGCATAATAAAAATGGGTAAGTTAATTTAAAAGTAGCTCTTTACGTTGTGCTTTTGTGGTTAGAATTTTAATTTACTAGTATAGTATATTGTAAATGCATTTGAACTTATGTGAACAACAACACTGTAGTGAAAATCAGTAGAATGCCATTTCAGACTGATTAATGTCCTGATTGTTATTTTTAGCTAGGGCAGAAAGAAGGGAAGCGAAAATATGTGCAGATGCAGCCTCCTATGGCAGCAGTGTGGTGATTCTTTCTGTATTCAAGGAAGTATCATCAATGACTAATTTCTGTATGTTTCTTGTCTCACTATTCAGTGTTTATACAGAGATGTGAAGAGACAGTGTTGACCTTAAATAATGAGAAAGTTGTTTTCCCTTCCATAATAGTCCCACAATAGAAAGCTATTGTGATGTATTGAAGAAGGGGTTGGATTAAGAGCAGGGAGAATAGTTCTAGTTTACCCTCAGCCTCAGAAGATCTCAGGCTGACTTTGGGCCAATTACTGTCTCCTGTCTCTCAGCCTAACCTATCTCCTGGGATGGTTGTTGTTGGAAAATGGAAGGAGAGAGTGCTATATATGTCACCTTGAGTCGTATGAAAGGTGGGATGTAAATAAATAAAAAAAAAATAGTTATAGTGCTGTGCTTATAATCTGATTGAAAATCAATGGACTTGCAACTGTTTTTAGTTTACCTTGTTGCTAGTAATTGCACATTGAGAAGTTGAAAAGTTGTTGAACTTCAGTTACTAACAGTGTAACTGTTTAACAACAGTGTAACAACATTCTGTGCTTAACTAATGTAATGTCTTTGAAGCCCATGGCAACGTTCTTTAATTTCTGAATATGAGTTGGCTAACCTGACTGAAAATGCAAAAAAGATTGGTTGTGATGCGCTTGTTGAACTCTACCATTTTGACCAAGGGCTCATGCTGGGACTTTGGAAGGTAAGATTGTTTTCTCAATAGGCAACTTTTTTTTTTTTGTAAATGCTTACTTTATCTGCTCATTCACAGCAATTAAATTGGTATGTTAATGTAGCTAATGCTGAATGACAGAATTGTTTGTGTTAATGTTTGCTGACTTGTTCTATTTTTTTAATTACCATAAGACTAATTATTTAATTTTGCTGACTACAAATGATTTCGTTCTTGCTTTATTCACTGGATACGTTTATATCCATTTGTACACTTGTCTGAGTAAGGGAGGCATGCTGTGTATCCTATGAAGCTAAGGATCAGGACATTTGCCTTTTCTGTGGCTTGTCACAAGTGGAAAGATGATCCATTCCTGTTAACATTTAGAAGGGAAGTGAGAACAGTCCTTTTTTGATGGGTCTTTGGATGTAACTTTTTAAGGATGCTGTTGCCATATGCCAGTAGGGATTATTGTTATTTTTATTCTTTAATGGGTTTATGTTTTCTGGTGTTTTATATAAGGGAGCTGCTGTAATTGGGGTGATATAGAAATTATGTAAAATAAATAAATGTTGGGATTACTGTGGGTTGATAAGAATCCCAAGAACTCATAGAAGATATCCACAAACTTTATTTTGTCCACAAGTAAACTTCCATTCTGGAGATAATTATTTCTTGTTTGATTATTCCTGCTTCTGTGTGCCTTTTATTTTCATCCTCTTATGAATAGGGATGAAATCCTTCTACAAATCAGAATGAATGTAAAACAAGCTTCTATTTTGTGTGGTATTTTTCAGCTAAGGAAGATTTATTTATCTATGGTCCAAGACCAATATTACAACATGTCAAATATAAAACGATATAAACTAAACATAGAACGAAAAGCTTGAAGCAGTTACTAGTATAAGGGAGGCACTGGATGATTTCTGCAAGCCATGGCTATTGTTAAAAATTTAGGAACCTCATTGGAAACAGCTGAACTTTGACAGCTTAGGAGAAAAACAACTTCCTGCTTAGAGGAGCAATTAACATTTCTAATAATTGGTGTTATGAGTTTTGTCTTCCATTTGTTGTACTGAGGACATTCTAGCTGTATATGTGAAACAGATCCTGTTTCTGTATCGGAACATATAGAAGTACAATTTTCATAGGAGATACTGATGTATCAGCTGTTGCCTTTATAAGTTATTTATTTATTTATTTATTTATTTATTTATTTATTTAATTTCTATTGCTGCCCATCTTAGCCAAGTGACTCTGGGTGGGGAACAATTCTAAAAACAAAAAGAATTAAAAACAATACAAAAATAAATATACACAGCAGCCAAGAAAATTGTCATAATAATTATCAGTGTAGCCAAGAGACAGGGCCCTTAACACATTCGAGGCCCCAGGCCTGAGTACATAGCCAGGTCTTTAAAGCCTTACAAAAAGCCAACAGGGTTGGGGCCATCCTAATCTCTGAATGGAGGATGTTCCAAAGAGCAGGGGCTACAGCAGAAAAGGCACGTCTCCTGGTCCCTGCCAGCCGACATTCCTTGGCTGACCTGCAGCATGCCCAACTTGCTGGACTGAATTGGATGGGTAGGAACTATTGGGAAAAGAGATTCCCTCAGGTAACCTGGGGCCCAAGCTATGCAGGGCTTTAAAGGTGACAACCAGCACCTTGAATTGCACCTGGAAACACACCGGCAACCAGTGCAGCTCACGCAGTAGTGGTGTTATATGTGTTGCATATCTGACACCATTTACTACCTGTGCAGCTACATTCTGTACCAGTTGAAGCTCTGAATGCTCTTCAAGGGCATCCACATGTTGTGTGTGTTGCAGTAGTCCAAGCAAGAGGTTACAAAGGCATGGGTGACTGTGAGTAGAGCTTCCTGATCCAGGAATGGATGCAACTGACACACCACCCGGAGGTGTGCAAAGGCCCTCCTGGCCATGGCTGCCACCTGCTCTTTGAGCAGGAGTCATGAGTCCATGAGGGTACCAGGTCTGTCTGGGGCAGTGCTACTGCATCCAGTACCAAAGATGGAAAAGCTTTGTCTCTAGAAAGTCCAAATACCCAGAGCCACTCAATCTTACTTGGGTTGAGTCAGCCATTGTGCCCCATCCAGACCCTTACAGGCTTCAGGCACTGGGACAGGACATCCACAGCATCACTCAGAGGGCCTGGGGTAGAGATATAAAGCTGGATATCATCAGCATATTGATGATACCTCACCCCAAACTGATGGATCACCTCACCCAGCAGCCTCATGTAGATGTTAAACAGGAGAGGCAAGAGAACTGAGCCCTGAGGCACCCCACAAAATAGGGGCTGCGGGCTAGATCTCTCCCCACATCAACACTGACTTGAACCAACCCCGGAGGAAAGAGGAGAACCAGCACAACACAGTGCCGCCCACTCCCAACTCCTGAAGTCGGTCCAGAAGGATACCATGATGGATGGTATTAAAAGCCACTGAGAGGTCAAGAAGACCAAGGATGGATGCATTACCCCCATCCCACTCCCACCAGAGGTCATCCAAGAGCATGGTCAGTGCTGTCTCAGTCCCAATCCCTGGCCTGAACCCTGACTGAAAGGGGTCCAGATAATCGGCTTCATGCAGGATCCTCTGAAGCTTCCATGTGACCACTCTCCGCAACCTTCCCTAAAAAAGGAAGGTTGGAAACTGGACAAAAACTGTCCAGGTTGGTTGGGTCAAGCAATAGCCCCCTGAGCAGGGGGTGCACCACTGCCTCCTTGAGTGCCTGTGGAACCACCCCCTCTCTCAAGGAGGAATTAACCACAACTCAGACCCAATCATGTATCGCCTCCTGTGCAGTTTTAACAAGCCAGTAGGGATATGGATCTAACACACGTGGCCAAACTAGCAGCTGCAAGAGACCTGTCCACTTCCTCAGGTTCAACGGGCTCAAATTCCCCCCAGATAACCATACAAGACTTAGCTCCCATAAGCTCCACAGACTCTGCCTTAAGGCTGGAGTCCAACGTAGAGTGAATATGAGCGACTTTATCCTCTAGATGTACAGCATATTCCTCACAGTGACCCTGTAGGTGAGCCTCAGTATAATTCCCTCCAAGGAGGGACTGAGTCATCTGAAATAGGGCTGCTGGGTGACTATCCATGGATGCAATAAGGGTGGGGAAATACCGTATTTTTCCGACTATAAGACGATACTTTTTTCTAAAATCCTTACCCTAAAAA